GCCATTGGTTCCTCAACATCTCCAGAATTTCCATGCTGTAGAGGTGAATTCTGGTGAATGACTCCATTGCCAAACGTCCACGATAATGGTCGCAATGCTAAAATGATTTTAAAAGTTGTAAGAGATTTTCAAGAAAGTTCTGACCTGGAGCAGAATATTGTAGATGATAGCAAACGCTCTGTTAACAGTCTCATTGTCACGTTCTTCCTGCTTACGAAGTGTTGCTCTTTCCTCCTGCATTTTGAACATCTCATCCTCCTGCTTACGAACCATCTCATCCAAATCCTTGCTCCTCTTCTCAAAATCATAGATCTTCCGCCAAGCATTCTCATCGATTCTTGCAACTCTTTTCTTCTGGTAAAATTTGGTCAGTGATGAATAATGCGGAAAAGCAAACTCACAAGCTTTTCAGCCATAGCTATATTATCCTCAATACGCTCATCAATGCCTTCCAAAGCAGACTGCATCTCAGCAACTCTTTTCAATTCTTCACTATGAACACCCTGAAATTTGATAAGGAATCACATCTATTCTTATTTGGAAAAATTGGAATCAGAAGCCTTTAAGGTAATTTTTCAGATTCCAGAGAATCACAGAAATCCTTACACGGGAAGTACCCGAAATGTCTGCTTGCTTGTTCTTAGATATTGGTGGCAAAAAATGTCCGTTCCTTGGACTAGCACAAAACGAATAATATAAAATGCCCATAGGCAGGTTAAACAGAACGGCAAAACTTTTTCTAATTTTTTTTTAAAAAGTGGGTCAAGTCCATTCAGAAAATCATAACTTTGTACAGATCAAAGATAAAATAATAAACTAAACTGCATTTTGTAGAACGGGTTTGAGGCTACAACAAACTTAATTACAAATATTGTCTATCTTTGCAAAGAATTTTACTATGATAGGAAATGTGCGAATGGTCCGATGGTGTGAAATCAAAAAATGACGATTTTCGAAAAAACGTATTTGGGAGACCATGTCTATTCGATTCCATTCATGTCATAATGCACAACTTGAATTTCAGATATATAGCACTTTTTAATTTAAGAGAGATTTTTGAAAAAATAAACTTTTTTCAGCTTCACTCATGTACGGTGAAACCTTTTTTAAATTGAAGTTTTTTAAACTGATTGAATCCTTGTTGGTTTCACAAGGGAACTTCAACACCTCACAAACCCAGATTTTGAAGAAAATGTGAGGATAGGTTGAAAATTACCTATCTAGACATCTCTGAAAATTTCAGAAACCGCCCACCAGTATCAGCCGAGTTATATCAGTTTCAGTACCAACATTCGCCTTTTCAGTGCAAAAACAGCGTTTTCAAAGGCGGTTTTCTCAAGTCC